CTTTCTTAAGAGTATGTCCAAAGTAAGCGTCACCTTCTTTGCTTCTAAGCAGCACTCTGGTTTCATTTTTTCTTTGTACTTTTGGCCACAAAGAAAAAACTCAGTATTCTCTCAATCACCACAAATCAAAGACATCAATTCTTTTTCTGTAATTAGTATTCACTGTACAGCGCTCAGATTAACAACAAGTGACTGGGAAGACCATGGCTTGAATCAAGAGCACCTTAGTCTTGAAACTGACATCATTACTTTCCAAGACTTTGTCAAGATCCTGACAACAGACAACTGCTGATCTCCTGATTGTTGATACCAAGGGCGTTGGCTGTGAATCCAAGTAAGATGAACTTGACAATTTCAATCTTTGCTCCATTCATCATACTGCTGCCTATGAAGCCATTGGTGAGGATTTTTGTCTTCTTGGTGTTGAGATGTAATCCATATTGGAGGCTGCATAGACCTTGATCTTTTGCAGCAAGTGTTTCAAGCCCTCTTCACTTTCAGCAGTCTTCCTCCAATCCTGATGCCACATTCCTCTTCATCATGTCCCAGTTTCTTCAAAGATTTGCTCAGCATAAAGACTGAATAGGTATTGCAAAAGGATACAACTCTGATGAACATCGTTCTTGATTTTAAACCATGCAGAGTTCCCTTGCTCAGTTCAAACAACAGCTTCTTTGTTTAGGTACAGATTGCACATAAACATAATTAAATGTCTTGGAATTGCCATTTTTCCCCTCAATTTGTTTGTTACGATCTGTTGTTGTTATGTGCCATCAAGCTGGAACAGACTTTCAGAGGCAGTTAATCACATGGGTGGGAAAATGTCCATCCTTCTGGAGAACAGCTGGTGGACTCAAACCACGTGCCTGTTTGATGGCAGACAGCTTTCTGCAAATAGGCCACCAGTGCTCCCTTTGATCTAAACATGTATCTGCATTAGTCAAATGTATTTGCATAGTCAATAAAATACCAAGAGACAATCTTCTGGTACACTCAGGTCTTAGCCAAGAAGATCCAAAAGTATGAATACAGGAAAATCAGAAGTCACAAAGAACGGACAATTTTTTTTTAAGACTCTGGATAGGCAAAAGAGTCTGTGGTCTATTTTAGCAGATCAAGTAAGAAAAAGGAGTACAAAACTGAAGCAACTGGGTTTTGTTGGGATGGGTTTTGGGGGAGGGAGGAGAAGAATGGTGATCAAAAAGGGAAAAAGAAGAAAACAAGAATTCATTCTCTTAAGATCAACTGACATTTGAAACGGTAACAATTTCACATATGTCAGTATAAGGTGAGGGATTCTGTCAGTATAGTTCAATGAATTTTATTGATGTTAGTTGTCAGTTTTAACTCATGGTCAACTCATGCAGTAGAACTCTACATAGTCAAAAGACTAGAACCTATTGGAAGCAGATCACCAGGCCTGTCTTCTGAGGTGTTTCTGACTGGATTTGAAAAACCTACATTTCAGTTAATAATTGAATGTTTAACTTTGTATGGCTCCCAGGGATGATTCAAATAAAGCTTGCAAAATTATTAGTAATAATTTAATTTAAAAAGACAATAAAATTTTTTTAAAATTTTATTTTATTTCATTATTTTTTGTGTGTCGCGTCAAATCATATCTGACTGATACAGGAGGAGATTGTTCCTCCTTCTTCAGCAGAGCATCTGGTGGATTTGAACCGTGTACCTCTGAGATTGCACTGCAACTTCTTGCCACTAGGCTACAAGAGCTCACCCAAGTACAATATTTTTTAGGGAGTTTTGGTAACCTAGTAGTAAAAAATTACACTACAAACCCAAAGGCTTCAAATCCACCAGTTGCTCTACAGAAGAAAAATGGGCAACCTCCTCCCATGTGAATAACTGCCTGTGAAAACCCACGGGAGAGTCAGCTATGAGTGGATTCTAACTCAAAGGTAAACAACAACATGTTTAGTTTATGCTGATTCATATTTTGCATTTTTAAAAAGAAAAATCATTTCTTTCAGCTAAATTTTAGACCTACAAAAGAAAAATTACTAAATATTAGTCAGGATAAAAGGATTAATTAATAAATAAAATAGGATTAACAGTAGCATAGCTGATAATAGATGATAAGACAGACAATTCAAAAAACAACACTATGAGATACGTTTTGGGTGTCAGGTGACAGTACATAAACATATCAACGAATCACAGTACAAATTTAGGAATGAGGAAACAGAACGATTATGTTTCTGAAGTTCACAGCATAACAGGATTAGCATCTAATTTTCCCTTTTTCATACAAAACCACCTGACTGAAAGAATCTTATATGAGAAACTTCTAGAATGACATTCCTCTTGTCAAGTATAAAAAATCTTTTCTATTTGTTTCTATTTTTATTTGATGAAAGTTTACAAAGCATATGGTTTTTCATTCAATCACGCAAATAATACTCTTTTTACCCTAGAGTTAACACATTTCACAGTCAGAACATGGTAGAATCTGAAATAATAACAAATGTTAAAAACAGAATTCACACACATGTGAATCCTGGAAATATATATCTGAGATATAGATGTTGGGTTTTTTTTTTCTAGAGAAGATGATGTACAATTTTTAAGAAAGATGCAAGATTTTGGCTCCCTCCTGAGCTTCATTACAATGGATGAAAATAATTAGTTTTATGAAGTTACACCCTTTAGTTAATGAGAGAGCAAATAAGAGCAACATAATTTTAGAAGTGGGCAAATGGGTGTGAGAGCAAAATAAATCCGAGCTAAGAAAACGGATTCTCGAACTGACAGTAATATAAAATAAAAAGTATCTGGGTACAGTGGAGAAGACCCCAAATGCTTGTGAACTGGAAAACTTCTGAAAATAATGTAATAGTAAAGTTAATAGGAGGATTACTTAAAATTCTGCTTGAGGAGTACAGAGATTTAACCCTCTCTGTGTATCAGCACAGTTACAAAGCTGCCACTTCTGCAGAAATCTGAAGTTATAGTCTCAGGAGGAGGTGGTTTTTGGAATATAGGACACGTTTTCCATCTCAAGAGAACGATTTAAATAATGTCTAATCCTGCGTATTATATGCTAGTTTATTAACATATCTGTGTCTAATCTTGCCTAATTAATATCACACAGGTGATGATTTACAACATATTTGGTAATTACATCAGATCATAAAATATATGACAATGCTTGGAAGAGTGGAGGGACAGGGTAGGCAAGGAAGACCCTGGATGGACTGACACAGTAACTGGGGTAAGGGGGGCAGATGTGTTGGATTCAGCAGGGTTCAGAGCTACTGTACATATAGGGTCACTATGAGTCGCAGGCAACTCGATGGCATAAAACAAGAACTGAAATTGATGGCCCAGGCAAGTTGATACATACTTTGAAGGGACACAATCTGTGGTACAATGAATTAACTAGTGTGGCACTTCTATCCATAGCCTCCCATTTTGTGACTCTACCCTCTTTGTCTGTGCTTAAGATCTCATCTTAAAGAGATAAGATTAAGATGGCTTATAAGTCCACCTTAGTATAAGGTATTATCCATGCCAACTTTAAATATTCTGAGTGCATGACTGATAGTCCTTAGATCCTGTGTAAACAAAAGGCCCTGCAAAACTCAGTCAGTTGCTCATCTGGCACACTGACTCTAGCCTTATCCAGCTACTCTGACAGCCGACAACCAATAGTTGAAAATTGATTGCTAAAAATGGACAACCCCAGCCTGCAGGCTCCTAACCTGTCATCCGCCAGTCTCTACAACCATATGTGTTGACCTACACCATCCACAACCTCATGAGCCATTTTTGTGATGGTTTTTCAGTTTCTATGAGACCATGCAGTCAATTACAGAACTCAAAAGCCAGACAGTAGGAGGAGGAATGAAGGAAAGAAGAACAAATGTTGTCAAGAGATGATGAGGTGGTACAGAAGTCTGGATATCTGGAATACTGTTAACATCTATTTTGTGCACAATCCAATCCACACAGCTAAGAGTCATTTTAAAAAACAAAACAAAACAAAAACCCTGAGAAAATAATCTAGAATTAAAAACAGATAAAAAAAATCAACTTTAAAATAAAAAAACAGAACCCAAAACCAAAAACAAAACCCAGCAACTGGAGGAACAAAAATTATACTGGAGGAAGAAAATGTGTGGGGGAAATATTAATAATATTAGAGAGATAAGACATCACATCTATAAAAAAGAATAGATGCTCTTGGATAATAAAGTCATGATAGCAAAAATTAAAAGCTCAATAAAATCTTTAGGGAAGTAATGTTAAAGACATTTCTCAAATAGTAGAAGGGGGGGAAAGAAAGGAAAGAAATACAACAGCAGCAAAAGACTATCCAAACAAGAGGTATTTCAAAACAAGAAAATGGAGAAAACCTCCATCATTGAAGAACATGTCCCAGAATAAAGCAAACCAGTTTCACTTGCTATGCATCTGAGAGCTGCACAATGAATAAGGATGACAAAAGAAGAATTTATAACTTTGAGTTATGGTGTTAAAAAAGAGGACAGATAATGCCAAAAGAGAAAAGTGCAGTCAGAATGCTTCTGGGAGGCAAGAATGACAGAGCTTCGTCTCACATAATGTTGGGCCTGTGGCTAGGAGAGGTTGTTCCTTGGAGATGGACATCATGCTTGAAAACTGGAGGGTAAGCAAAAGAGAGGAAGACCCTCAACCAGAGGGACTGACACAATGACTGCAGTAATGGGCTCAAGTGTGTCAAAGATGATGAGGATGGCACAGGGTAGGACAGAGTTTAGATCCCTTGTTCATAGGGTCACTATGAGTTGTACACCTAACAAAAATCAATTTCCAGGCTGAAAATGTTTACTGAGTTCCCTGCACAATACAACAGCTATATTCTTTTCAAATTTCTGAATACATGCAACAAAGAGCTCTTTCAAGCTTCTAGAGAGAAAAACAAGCCACACAGGCAAGAAATGAAAAAAAAAAAAAAAAGGCAACAGTGGGAGCTAGAAACCATGAAAATAATCACGTAAAAATATTAAGCAAAGAACTCTACCCCTGCCAACTAGCAATTAATTGTGAAGGAAGAAGATATATTCAGGTAAGATCGCAAGAAATTTACTTCTCATATACCCCTTTTATTAAGAGGTTGCTTAACAGTATATTTCATTGAAATAATAAAATGAAAAAAGAAAGAGAACAAGAATAAAGAAATATATAACTCAAGAAAGAAGGAAAAGGCATTCTAAAATGAAGGAAAGCCATGTTGACAGCCATGCATGTAGCTCATTAGCAACAGAAATATCAAGGAGAAATTACTTCAAGATGATGACAAGGAAAGAATATCTCACAACTATTAACTTCAGGCAAAGAAAAAAAATTACACAAAAAGTGAAAATAACCTAATATTATCATTAAAAAGTTATGAATAACATTTGCATAGCTAAATAATGGTAAATACTGGCTCCAATCTAACCAAAATTACTACATACGTGTTTTAGAAGAATGGGAAAATGTGAGCATCCCTGTGTGAAGTACACGGAAATGAGTGTGGTTAGGGTGAAAATAGATTTATACCCTTTTCTTACATAGCAAGACATCAATTGATAGTCAATCTGAAAATCAATATCAACACAAACATGACATTTAGAGCTGGATACAAATTTCAAAAGAAATCATCTGGAAGAAACCTTGCTTCTAAATGGTTAATGTTGGGAAGAAAGGAATCAAAACAGACAGTCATAAAGAATTACCTATTAACCTCTACACATGGCCTCACAACAAAAAAAAAATTAGAAGTATGGGGACAAAAAGTTAGAGAATAATTTTACCACTCTAATTATTAATAGAAAAAGACATGATCTCACGAGAATAAGTTCCACTAATGCCAGACTGGGTCAAACATCTCTGAAGTTCTTCAGCATCCACTTCACCATCCTGTTCAAAAGAAAACAAACAAATATCTATATCTTTATCTGCACACACACACACACCCACACACTTTATGTCCATTTGTAAAAAAGTATATTAAAATGTTAACAGACTGTATAAGACAAATAAATAATAATACAACTTTCGAAACATTACCAGATATCAAGGACAGCATCCTAGTGACAGTTAAGACAAAGGCATATTAATAATCATATAACATGAATAACTTTTTACAGTCAAATTATAGTCTCTTTTGCTTTATTTTTTTTAGAAAAAAAAATGTCAGATGGATGCTGGCTGAAAGTAAAAAATACCAGAAGAAAGTTTATTATTGCTTTATTGACTATGCAAAGGCATTTGACTGTGTGGATCATAACAATGTATGGCTAACCTTGTGTTCATGTGAAAACTATACCCAGACCAAAAGCAAGGTAACACTGCATTTAAAATGAAGAAAGGAGTAAGTGGGGAAAGGACAATCTCTTTAAAAAATGATGTTGGTAAAATTTGGAAACCATCTGCAGAAAATTTAAGCAAGACCCTCTCCTCACACCTTATACAAAAACTAACTCAAGGTGGCTCAGGGACCTAGAAATGAAACCCAAAGACTATAAAATTCATCGGAGAAAAGCTAGAAAGAACTTTAGAAGCCCTAATCCACAATATGAACAGTCTCTCAAGTATAATTAAAACCCTACAACTAGGATAGAATAAAACAGTTGAATGGGACCTTCTAAGAATTAAAACCCTGTACACGGCCCTTTAGAGTAGTGAGAGAAGACCTTCACCCTGAAACCCACAGCGTCCCTTTACAGCAGGAAGTAGCTAAGAGAATACGCCATCCCCTTTTCATTATGACTCAGGGTGAAGTCTCTCTCAGGGAGGAGTGATAGGGAATGGCAAAGGACACACAGACAAAGAAGATTAATCAGAACTGGCTTTGACAAGCACTGTGGCATTTGGACAAGAACAAACTGGGAGAAGGGTAGAGAGAATAGTGCAACAATGAATGAATGGAAACCCAAAATCTCTGTAAATGTTTATGAAAATTAATAAAATATAATTATAGGGAAAAAAAAGAAGAAAAAAAACCCAGCCCTGTACACATAAAAAAACTTCTCCAACAGGCTAAGAAGAAATCCACAGACTAGGAAAAAAATAGTTGACAATGACATATCTGATAAAGGACTTGAAGCTAAAATTTATAGAATACTCCAGTATTTCATCAAGAAAAAGGTAACCAACCAAATCACAAAAGGGGCAGTCTATGAATAGACACTTCACCAAAGAAGACTTTCATATGGCAAACAAACATATTAAGAAGTGTTTAAAATTTCTAGCTATCAGAGAGATGGAAATCAAAACAACGATGAGATATGGTCTCACTCCAGCAACAACGGCAGTATTCAAGAGGGCAGTAAACAACAAATGTTGGCAAAATTGTGGAGAAACTGAAACTCATATTTACTGCTAGTGGGAACATAAAATGGCACAACCCCTATGCAAGGCAGTTTGGCACTTTCTCAAAAAGTTGTAAATAGAAATATCATTTGAAAAAAAAAAAAAAGAAATATCATTTGACCCAGCAATTCACAACTGGGATACCCTAAAGAAACCAGAGCCACAACTCAAACAGATATATGCACACACATGTTTTTTGCTGCATTATTCACAATAGCAAAGAGATGGAAGAAACTTAAGTCTCCATCAATAAACAAATGGATAGAAAAACTATGGAACTTTCACACAGTGAAGTATTATGCAACACTGAAAAACAATGAAATATTAAAACATACAATAAGGGGAAGCCTTGAGGACATTATGAGAAGTAAAATATCTCAGTCACAAAGGACAAAAGCTGTTTAACTCCACTGTTATAAAACAGAACAGAGATGGGGGAGTTGCAGAGGCAATGGGGAAAGAGTGGACAGATAATGAACACTGCATTAGAACAGATTAGAGGAACTGTCCAAAAGAAACATATAATTATACATTATAAGTATAAAAACAATCTGGAACAAGGGATGCAACATGGGGTGGGCGGGTAGAAGGGGAAGGAAAATGGGGGGAGAGGAGTGGTGCAACAATGAATAAATATTTAAAAAAAAAAAAAGGAAGGCATGCGTAAGGGTTGTATCCCCTCCCCATACCTATCCAATGACTATGCAGAGTAGATTATTCAAGAAGCTGGATGCTATGAAGAAGAACGTGGCATCAAGATCAGAGGAAGACTTAATAACCCGTATTATGCAGATGACAAACTTTGCTAATAATAGTGAGGAGGATTTGAAGCACTTGTTACAATAGAGATTGCATCTCAATGTCAAGAAAACAAAAATTCTTACCACTGGACCGATAGGCAACCTCATGATAGATGGAGAAAAGACTGAAGTTGTCAACAAATTCATCTTACTTGGATCTACAATCAACACACTCTGTATGAGCAGTCAGGAAATCAAGAGATGTACTGCTCTGGGAAACTCTGCAGTCAGAGAACTCTCCAAATTATTGAGGAGCATGTCAGTTTGAGGACTAAGATTTTTCAAATCACTTGCTGTGCATGTGAGAGCTAGACAACAAATAAGAATTGTTGTTGCTATGTGCCAAAGAGTCACCTGCAACTTACAGTGACCCTATGTATAAACATCCCTGAACCCTGGTCTATCTTTAGCCAAACTCATTGTCTCTGACACACCACAGTAATTGAGGATTACAGAAGCATAACTGATTCCTTTGAGCTGTTAAATTGGAGAAAAAAATAGTAATTATCACATTGTTGTTGTTGTTGTTATGTGCCTTCAAGTAGCCTGCGACCCACAGTGACCCTATGCACAGCAGCTCGGAACCCCACCCTGTTCTGAGACAGTTTCACTAATCCGAACACACCAGTCCCCACTGCCCCAGTCACTATATCAATCCATCTCATCTGAGATCTTCCTCTACTGAACTGTTCCTCCACCCTTCTCCAAGGATGGGTCCCTCCTGGCCACATGACTAAAGTATGTGAGACAGTGCTTCAAAACCCTAGCCCCCAAGGAGAGATTTTGTTTTACCCTCTCCAAGACAGATCTATTTGTTTTCTTGGCAGTCCATGGTATGTTCAAGGCTCTTTTCCAGTACCACAATTCGAAGGCATCGATTATTCTTCTGACATCCTTAGTCACTGTTCAGTTCTCTAACGCACAGCAAGTAATGGCAAAGACCAGGGCCAGGATTAGGTGCACCTTAGTCTCTAGACTGACATTGTTGCTTTTCAGCACTCTGGAGAGGTCTCTGACAGCACAATTCCCCAATGCAATTAATTCGTCTTTTGATTTCCTGACTGCTGGTGTTAAGAGTGTTGATTGTGGATCCAAGCAAGCTATAATTGTTAATAACCTCAATCTCTTCTCCATCTATCATAGTGCTGTCAATTGGTCCACTCGAAAATCTTTGTCTTCGTGATGGTAAGTTTCAATCCATATTGAAGACTATACTCCTTGGCCTTCTGGAGCAAGCATTTCAGGTCTTTTTCAGTTTCAGCAAGCAAGGTTGTATCATCTGTATAACAAAGGTTGTTGATGAGTCTTCCTCCAAACCTGATGCCACATTCCTCCTTATAAAACCCTGCTTCCCAAATGATCTGCTCTGCATACAGATTGAAAAGGGGTGGAGACAGAATGCATTCCTTTCCTGATTTTGAACCATGCAGTGTTTCCTTTCTCTGTTCTGAGGACTGCTTCTTGGTCTAAGTATAGGTTTCACATAAGCACAATCAAGTATTCTAGGATTCCCATTTTCCTCAAGGTTAGCCACAAGTTGTTGTGATCTAAACAAATACTTTTGCACAATGAAATAACAGATAGACATTCTTCTGGTATTCTTTGCTTTCCGCCAGCATCCATCTGACACTGGCAATAATATCTCTAGTGCCAAGACCTCTTCTAAATCCAGCTTGTATTTCTGGTAGTTCTGCGTCAAAGTACTCCAGTACTTTGTTCCAGTCATTTCTGGATGATCTTCAGCAGGGTTTTGCTATTGTGTAATATTAGTGATACTGTTCAATAATTTCCACACACTGTTGGGTTACTTTTTATTGGAATGGTAATAAACATGATCTCTTCAAGTCATATATCCCACGGACTTAAAAAACAAAACAAAACAAACAAACAAACAAAAAAAACCCAAACAACTACATCTTGGCGAAAATGCAGTCAGAGTGCTCTCCGTAAGTAAAGATGATGAGGCTTTGCCTCACATACTTCGGGCTTGTTTCTAGAAGGGGTTATTCCTTGGACACAGACATGATGCTCAGAAAAGCAGAGTGTTGGCTAAGAGAGAGAAAGACTCTCGACCAAGTGGACTGACACAGAGACTGTTGAAACAAGCTTGAGTGTGTCAGAAGTGTGACTAATGGCACAGGCTAGGACAGGGTTCAAATCTGTTGTTCGTAGGGTCGCTATGAGTCATACTCAACTCCATGGCATTGCTTTTTCAAGCACTGAAATATCATTTACATTGTCTATTTAAAAAAAAAAAAAGCTTAAGCACCCTTTCTTAGAAGAGCTCAAAGTATTATGAGAGTCACTGTACTTCTACTTGAAACCATTAAAAATATGCCTGAATGTGGTTCAAAAACATCTCAACAGCCTTCCCACTTAAGCTCATTTGTTGTTCTTGTTATGTGCCATGGAATTGAGGCCAACTTACAGCAACCCTGTGTACAACAGCTCTCAACCATATTCTATCCAGAGCCAATTTCATTGTCTCTGACACATCTACCCCCATTACTTCAGACACCAAGTCAATCCATCTCATGAGGAGTCTTCCTTTCTTGCCCTGTCCCTCCACCTTATCAAGAATAATGTCCCTCTTCAAAGGACTTATCCCTCCTGGCAACATGCCTAAAGCATGTGAGGTGGTGCTTCAAAATCCTTGCCTCCAAGGAGCAGCCTGGTTTTACCCTTTCCTGGAGAGACCTGTTTGTTCTCTTAGGAGTCCACAGGAGATTATTCCTATTAAAGTTT